GGGGGGGGGGGGTGGGGGGGGGGGGGGGGGGGGGGGGGGGGATATGCGAAACACAACGCAAGCTTGTTTTATGTCGCTTTTCTGTGAGGCCGTGGTAATACTCCGGTTGAGCCGGCCTATGTGTGCCGAAGCATGGCTGTCCCACATTAAGCTAGTTAATGTACATTTGATGATCAAAATATGTGTGAAGTATGTGGTTATAAAGTAACTTGTATATCACCCAGAGCTGGAGCTGTGCGTGTACGTTGTGACGGTGGTGACGGGCGCGGCGTGCGGGCTGGAGTACGGCATCCTGGGCGGGGCGGCCGCCGACGCCGCGCGCGCGCTCGCTCGGGCCGCGCGCCCGCCCATACAAGGGGCGACCTTCAAGGTACACGCACTCCATTGGATGACAACTTCAAAGCTAGCTGTACATTCTGGTACATCCTAACCTTGCTGAGCTAGTTGCTACAGTTTAGTCACTAGAAGGAGTTGAAACAAGTCACTGCTCCAAAATTGAGGTCTAATAGCTAGACGAGAGTCAAATCATTTCTATAATTACCTCTATACATTGTCGTCACGTCGATTTTGTCAATAAAATATTTTAATTCAGTTCATTCACCTTTACTTAGAATATATATTCTAAGTTCTTTACTTATAATGTACTAGCAGCCCGTTGCGGCTTCGCACGGGGTAGACAATATTTTTTTTTTAAAATGAAATGTAGCCTATTTCGAATTGGAAGAATGTAGCATTCAGAATTAGCAGGTGAAAGAATTTTTTAAATCAGCCCAGTACTTTTTGAGCCTATTCATTACAAACATACAAAAATAGGTACAAATCTTTCCTCTTTATAATATTAGCATAGATTATTCTGAGTAAAGATGAAAGCAAAGATTACCTGTGATTAGGTGGGCAACCAGGACTGCGTATCTGTCAGCTTGCCCGACTGCCTGTCGTACGCGAGCGCGGAGCACGTGCAACACAAGGTGCGCCGCCTGGTGCCGCCCGCCGCCGCCGTCGTCGTCGTGGACGCGCGCCATCTGTATGCTATGGACCTGGGAGTCGCTGAGGTAAATTCATCGTTATTATCTTATTTTCATCTAATCCTTGTAAAAGACCTTTTGTAATATCTGGTAATAAGGTGTTACACATTATATTTTTTTCCTTTCCAGAACTTAGTATCTGTGATAGTAGATCTAGAGAAGGGAGGACACAGGTTCTTACTGTGGAACTTCAGACGGAGCCATCAGCTGTTGATGGAAGACCTCCACACAGGATTTGAGGCTCGCTTCGTGGACGGACCCAGTATTGATCAGCATATTTTAAGTAAGAAAGTGTTTTAATATTTCCCTAAATACGTACAAGTATCATTTACTAGGGTAACATAAATCAGAAGAGAATTTTTCAGTTGGCAATGGTCAAGCCGATTTCAAGACTAATATTTCACGACTGTAAAACTACTACGTAATGAAGTTCAGGTAAGTGTGGAGAGTGGTATTAAGTTAATGAATAATATATTATTTTCAAAAGTATTTTGATACTTGGGTTACCTAACTCTTTTGTACTCTCCTGAAACAGATTTCTAAATAATTTTCCCATCCTGCATGACCTTCGCCGCTATACTAATTCTCCACACGTACCAGGCTTCTATAAATTACAAGGAGTCTGTTCTTTGCAATACGAGTAGATAACAAATACTCTCCTCCTAATGCCTTTCTATGCTATATGGATTTTCTTCTATTCACAGGTTTGGATATCATACGGTAAGATGCCGTTTCATACACAGCCAAGCTCAGTGAATTTTAAGACTATTCTATGTTTTTGTAATTTACTATCTCCATTCTCTCAGTTATTGTGATTGTTAGGAAACGTTACCTTTGAGTATTTCCAATGTTTTAGGATATTTAATGTTGATTAAATAATAGTTATCTATCCATAAGATAGAAGTGTTCCCGCCAATAACTATTCCATGTTATAGATATTAATTATAACAGATATAATATGTTAACAGGTATAATATAACTGCTATAACAATTATAACAGTTACTTTATAAAAATGTAGTTATACATTCCATTAATTATATAGATTAAAATATGTAATTATATTTACGTAACATGATATCATTTGTAAGTGATATAAAATGTGATATTGAATAATCGTTATAAATATAGACGCGAAGAATCTGACTTTTTTATTGATTTATTTGGTTTTGCTGAAACTTTTTCTATGGAAGTTAATTTTTAATATGAATTCTTAATCAATGGTGCTTTATTTTGTAGTATCAATGTACTTCGACGTAGTGTTCTTTAAGCAAAGGATACATTAGGGCCTAGGGGACAAAAATATTCTGCGACACGTGTCACCAGCGACATCGGGTGCAGTAACGCGACGGTGCCGGACTTTGGTCGCCATGTCTGGCAACACCAACGTCGCTGTGCACAGTTGTGACAAGGCAAGTTGCACGTTGTCACCGTATATGTCGGGCGACCTCGGCCGGCTTCGGTCCACATGTTGCCGACACATGTCTTGGGACATTAAAATTTCCCCTAGTGTATCCTTGGCGTTACCTTCTTCATATTTAGAAAGAGTTTTAGTGAAATTTTATTTTAATACTTTTAAAACTGACTTTGAATCCAATTCTTATATTATAATTGTAGTACAATTTGTTAATGTTTTGTGAATATCTACTTAACTACGTTATTATGAAGTTTTAATTAAATATTTACATAAGTTGTTCTTTTATTATTACCTAAACTAAATAAGATGTTACTTCGCAGACATGATAATTATGCAGTTTTAAAATCTGGATTTCATCCACTTAAACGTTGATATATCGTACCGAAAATCCGCTTGGGGACTGAACAGTTAAAATAAACACATCCTTAGTTTCGGGTTATTCATTGAGATAGTTAATCTTGTTTTAACTCTTTCAGTCACACTTTTAACTGGTTACGAATATATTTTATTCAATTGTACTGAAATGCTTAAAAACCAATGCAAAGTAATTTGGAGCATACTTCAAAAATTGAATTTCTAAGAAAAGGTGGTTAGTTACAGTGACCACCGAGACTGAAAGAGTTAACGTTCTATGCAGCAACCTTTTTGAGATCAAGCTGAATTCTAGCCAAACAAAGCCTTAAGTAGTTTTTAGGACGACCACCGTGCACGATCGATATCTGGGCCGAGCAGTAGAATGTACTTCTTTGCATTGGAAAATCTTTGTAAGAAAGATACACACATAACATAACATCACGCCTTTTTATCCCCGAAGGGGTAGGCAGAGGTGCACATTACGGCACTTAATGCCACTGTACAATGTAACACCCACTTTTCACTATTTATGTT